CGTCAACGATCGACCGATCTATCGAACGTACCTGATCAGCCATGGCGTAGCCGTTGTGGTGATATACCGTCGAATGATGATGCTGCGGGACGTTCAACGAAAAGTCCAGATTCTCGTTCCTCTGAAACAGATTGCGCGCATTCGATTAGCAACGAAACGCCAAGAAATTTAGCCTTGCCCTGATGCCAGTGTCATGTCCCAATTCGTCAAATATTCGTCACAACTCGTTATTCTTTCCGCGGCGGGACACGCATGTCCTTAGGTCAATGGCCTCTTGATGGGCGTCGATTCTATACATTACGCTCACGGGCACGCGTAACCTTTCAGCCTCCTTGTTTCCGAAATCCTCTCGTCTCCTCGATCCCTCTTAAGTACGCGCCACAGCTCTGTCCATTCGAAAGCCGACGTCGAATCCATCCACGGACTATCGCACGGCTCTCGTACGCGTACGCTAATCCGTCGACAGTTTCTATCTCGAACGCGTTGCGTTCTGAGTAACGTTGTCTTACTTGCGGTTTCGATTCTTCCGCCCTTGATTACGCTCGTCACTGTCACCACCACCACCACTACCAGCACCACCACCTCCACCTTCACCACCACCACCACCACCAACTGCCCTTAACAAAGCGTGTTATTCTCGTTCCTCTACGGTCATCGACCCGCGTACGTTTATTTCAATTTTATTCCATTCGAAGGATTGCCTTCAATTTTTTCTGCTTTTTCCCATTCACTCCCGATACGAAAACTCGCATTCTCTTCCATCTTTCCCTCCGTTGTGTGGTGGAATAAACGAGAAGCATGTATTACATGAGAGAACCGGCTGCTCAAATATTCTTCTTATTCTACCCGCTGTGCCCATTCGTCGCCATCTGGAAGACGGCTTTCGATCCTCGTTGTCGGTGTTGTGGCCCCGGTACCTCAGAAGGTGCCACGGTGGCGTCCTATTTCCCTTCGCGAAACCGAGCAAAATCGAATCTTCCTTCAGTTTTGATGGGAAAACCACGTTTACCTTCGATAACCGTAAAAGAAAAGAAATTATCGCTTTTTTTCGTTCTCGCATTATTTTACGTGGAACAGCTATTCAAAACGAAACAATTACTTTACCAAAACAATTATCCGAAGGGTGAAAGGTTAGGCGAAGAATGCAAGGAACAAGGGATGATAATGGAAGAGCATCGATGGTGGAAAGGGACAGAAGAAGGTAAGGTGCAAGGATGTTACTTTTCCCAACAGAAGTAACAGCAGGCAGGCAGGCGAGCAGGTAGTAGGCAGGCAAGTAGGGAAGCGAGCAGGTAGGTAGATAGGTAGACAGGTAAGTAAGCAGGGAGACAGGCAAGCGGGTAGATAGGTAGGTAGGTAGGCAGGCAGGTAGGTAGATAGGTAGGTTGGTAGGTTGGTAGGTAGATAAATAGGTAGACAGGTCGGAAGGGACGAGCAAACGAGAAAAGCCGAATCGGGCCGTAGCATGCGATATTATCGCGTAATATCGAACGATATTAGTCCACTTAACGACTTTTTCCTTTCTCAATGATCGCCAAGAGGGGAACATTTGATCAACGATTGCGTTCGTATCTCTGGAAATGTTCTCTGTTTACCATCGAAGAGAGCTACGGTATAACTCCACGTTGATCATCCAACTATTATCGTATCAATTATCCAACTCTAACGATTTACGTGTAACGACGATGCAACGTTCACGGAGAAATGGAGAAGGCAAAGTAAAGGATTCGGAAAAAGAGTGAAGGGTATCCGTGACAAAAAACAGAGAAGCAAAGCGAAAACTAGAGATCCAATAGATATACACGGACGAGTCTCTTGCTCGGCGTAACTGATGTTAAACCTGTTCCCCATCCCATCGCTCCGCTCTTCTGCTTCTCAAAAGCACCTTCCATCCAT